AGTAGTAGTAGTAGTAGTAGTAGTAGTAGTAGTAGTAGTAGTAGTAGCCCTCTGGGGGAAGTCTTTTTGTTCAGGGCTGGAAGACACGAATGAGCTCAACAGTTCGAGATCAAGCAGGTTATTTTTCGACGTGTCATTGCAAGTAGAACTTTAATAGAAGAGATGACGGAGCGTAGTGGATGACGAACGTGCGTCGGAATGATAGAAACATCATCGGTTCGGTACAGATAAAACGATAGCTCTACAAACGAAGGTTCAACCGGTCGGGACCTCGGCTTGTCACGTCCAAGGCACACGGATCATGCCATAGTCTCCCAAACTATCAGAGATGCGGTGAAAGTGCAGAAGCACCTCACCCAACAAGTAGAGGAGGTCATACAAAGACTCGACGGCCGTCAACAGATGTTCTCGGCTCTCCTGCTGTTGTGGATCTCGAAAGGGCCCTGCGAGGCCACTGTATTTGAAATGCCCAGCTGCAAACTCGTCACGCACGCGCCTGCGCAAACGAAAGAACAGCTCCCCGCCAATCACATCGAATGGTTGCATGAATCTGCTGGTGTTACAACAAGAGATACCTATACTGAGGGCTTTCTGAGAAGTGCGTCGTGGCTTCAGCAAAACATATCGAACACATAGAGAACGTGTCCTTGCCTGATCTGCGCCAAAGCATTTTCTGCTGGCTCCTGGCTGGTGATGCTGAGAGGAGACCCCTGCAAAGGCGATAGACCTGAGAGGACGGGCGATAGGCCCATGCACCACTGCCCAAGTTTGGACTCGTTTTGAGGGATTCAACAGGTTGGGTGTTTGCTTAAGGAACTGGAAAAATGAAAAATTTCCCCAGTTCTGGGGACTTTCTTACCCATTGGGAAAGCAATGCGCTCACCCCTTCCGTAAGCAAAACCAGAAACAGGTTTGGTGTTCCAGTTTGGCCCACAGTCATGACATGGAACCAGCAATGCAGATCAAACCAAAATCTGAAAGCTGAAATCTTGACTCAGAGACCTTTGAGCTCTTCTTCACTTCCACCACCTGCAAACAAATGAAATGTCCATCTGAGGCCCAACAATGCAGTGATCAAGGATCCAATGAGGCAGGGCCAGGCGTCTTGCATGCTCTTCTGCAGTTGTGGATCAGCGCGGCTGGGCAATGGATTCCCTACTGCAGGCAAGGATTGCCATAGCACCACCACCTACGAAGGATGACGATTTGGACGAATGATCTGGTCAAAAGCAAAACAAAATGGCCGAGCATGACAATGACATGGACAAGCGCAGAACCAAAAAACGGACATCGAGAATGGGTCCGTCAACCTTGTACACCAGCCTCCAAGTGAAGCATGTGAACAACCCTTGGCAAACGACTTTCCTCCCTTAAACATCCAACAGGGGCTTGACTACCGAGTGATCGCTGTTTCTTTGATTGTAACCCCTGTTTCGTCCACTCCCCACTCAAAAATCAAATGCCTCTTTCAAAAATGGCTAGAAACAAACTAGACCCTCGACCACCAAACAAGAGACGAAAAACAATAGATTAACATACATCAAATATATCCAAACACTCCATGTATGGCATATATGCCTACATTGACCAATGTAGGCAATTATGGCATACATGGAGTGTCTGGGATATATATATATATATATAGCTAAGTTAAATGTATATATATATATACTATATACATACAAATAGAACCAACCCACCCACCAACCCACCAACCAACCAACCAACCAAGCCAGCCAGCCCACGGACCGACCGACCCAACCAAAACCCCAACAAGCGACCACTATCCGCACAGCACTACCCTCGCCTCCAAGGATGGCAGTTGGTCGGTCTGCGTGAGATGTGTGGCTGCCAACAAGAGATACGCGATGGCATCCGCCACCAAGTTGCGACTCAACGAGAGACAACGTTGTGCCAGCTCCGCGCAGGTGCGATCGCGCTCCAGCACCTCTCCGGTTCCGCAGGGTTCCGGATGGGGATGGCGGGGATGGCGGTGCGTGTTTTGGTTTCGAAGAGCAAGCAAAATAGATGGAGTCAACTTCCTGTGAGTTGACCTCAGAAACTGGGTACCAAGGTTCGATAGCAATGGTTTGTCTGAAGCAACGCACTGGAAAAAAACGGATGTCATGAGTGTCTGAACCAACCTGAGCCCCCTTCACTTTCCCCCAAAGACCGCCACCAAGATCATCACTTACTTCTCAAGAAGTGGGGCAATCTGCCCATTTCGGATGGATCACCAGTCCGACCTGCCGCAGCTGAAGCTCTAAGTGTTCGTAGGCTTCGCTGAGGGCGTGCATGAAGCTGGTCTTGTTGCGAGATGGAAAAAGATTCGGATAGTTCCTTGGTGAAGAACAGAAAGAACAGAAAAACACTGTGCTCGTTTTGCTTCTGGTGTTTGGTCGGTCCGCTAACAAAAACAGAAACCCATGTAATAGAGATTAAATGATCTGCATGTTAAACGGCATCACCCGCAGGGGATACAGAAAGAACACTTCACTGTGATTACTTGGGTTCAGGGTTTGTTACAGAGAAATCATGTCTGTATATGCCATATGCATTGCTTGGGACTTTCCTCCTGGGCTGGAACCCTTGTTCCCATAGGATGCGGTCCCTTTCTTCAACCTTCACGCAAGGAGCCGCCCTTGCACGGCCTCAACGAAAAAAGGTAACTTGAGAGAGGAGGGGGTGAACGAAAGGTAGCAAGCAATCATAAGTAACCCTGCTAGAAGTCCATGACGGCGTCAAAGGTGGATGGATGTGACCCAAACAGCGACGGCGCAGGGGGGGAATGTCGAACAGAATCATTACTTACAGGACCAAATTCAATGCACAATCCCAACTCCAGATTGTAATACATTTTGCTAAAGCAAGGAGAACTCAGGTAGCTCAAGCTACCTTTCATGACAACTGGTTGGTGGTTTCAACGAAAAGGAAACACCCGTAGAAGATAGAAGCCCTCGAGTTCAAGAACTTGCCCGGCTGCCCTACCCTTCCAGATCCATCTCGATCAAGCAACCAGGTAGCTGTAGGTGGGGGGTCAGTTCCCTATTGCAACTGGAAGGCTAGGCCGACTAGGCTTGTGCATCTGAGCTTCAACAAATCTCTGCATAAGCCACACATGCGCCGCACCTCTTCCTCACTCAAATTGCCTTATGCTGGCTGATCAGGAACCCAGAAAAAACAATGAATTCACAAGCGTTTTGCACGATCCAACTCTCTCTTTGAGAAGGTTTTTTGGGACCTCCAAAACAACTCCTATATATGGTATGTGGATCCAACGGAAAGAACAAGAAAACCTTTGGTATTCACAACATGTTCCCAAAGATCAAGGACTTTCCGCTAGGCAATTGAACACCATATAATAGGCAACTAAAATCAACTAAATCTTTAGACCTTGCTCTCACGAGTTGCTGTTGGCTGCATTGCTTCGAAGCCATCGCTTCAAGAGTTCAATGAGCCGGGTCCGGGGATCATGTCGATAAGGCGCCATGCTCGTTTGGGCTCGATGGCCCATGATCTTGAAGTAGGTCGTTTTACCTCAATGGGGTCAGAAGAACACCCATTGGAACACCACGGGACCAGCAGGGGTCTGTGCCCAATATGGGGTGCTTTTCATGCAGGGCAGAGGCCATGGATCCAATGCTCAGACGTCCCAATGCCAGCGAAGACGTCAGGGGAATAGACATCAACGCTGGCGTGTTTCTTTTCGTTATCTCTACGGACTTCATCAACTAGAGCTGCCCCAGTGGATCCCAGTTGTACATATCCACTACACTCCCTGGAGTCATCATGGAAGCGGATGGCATGGCCCCTTGGATGACCCTTTCCTATACAAATAGGTTATTCTATGTTATTCTTCCACTTCCATGATAATTCCAGGGAGCGTATATTGTTGTAAGGAACCAGGGTCTTAAGGATAGAATCTTTGGAGCCACTGGTTGCCTCTTATAGTGACTATACGCCATCCACGGGGCGCGACAGCGGTCTAAACACGTTCCAAAGACCTTGACGGGTGCGCAAGGGCCAAAGGCGGGGCATTCTCCAACCTGATAGCGATGGCCTCCAACCAAAGAGCGATGGCCTCCAACCTACTTGCGA